CCCAGCCACTCATGCAGACCCAGGAAAGGGACCTCCCTCCGCACCCACCAAGGGTCCCCTGGCCCACCCAGCCCCCCTCCAGCCTGATGCTCATCCCCACACTCCCATGGGTCAGGGGCTGCACATGAGAGGGCTCAGAGAAGGCTGGACAGATGCAGAAGTAGCCCGCCCACCCCAGAGAGCCCCCTGCCCCTTCTGAGGGAAGGGAACCACAGGGCACCAGGAAGCAGGTCCTCAAGGGCAGAAGGAATTCCAGAAGGGGCCTCAGGATGCTCTGACCTTGACTGCAAGATGCTGCCGCTCGCACTACAAGACACTTGTCTTAATCAGAATCACATTAATAAAGTTTCAAAAAGGAAGTGTATGCTGAAGAAAGCCCTGGAAGGGCAGTTTAATTTTATAATCAATTTTTGGGACAGACAGCTGCTTTGACTTTTTTTTTCCCACCTATAACATAATGGAATTATTCTTTTCCATATAATTTTCCAGTGAGGGGTTGAATTGGCCAACCATTTGCCACAGTCAGCAAGCCGGTTTTCCCAGGTCTGTTCTGCATCCAAGGCTATTTTGGACATTATCCATTTCATTTGGGGTTGACTATCTCTACCGATAAATATTCATTATAAACTGAATAAAAGACTGGTGGCGTGGACCTTTACTCGGCTAATCCACGGGAAGACCACAGGTGCCCCGCTTTGGATGCCATGGGTCTCAGGTCAGTCTGTTGTATCACTAAGTAAGCTCTTTGGTGCACTTCCAAATACTTTACATTACAGGAACCACATCACTGTGACACTGGCAGGGCAAAATGTGACAGCAGAGGCAAGAAGGTATGGCCAGACTACTTGTGTGGGGCTGGGGTCCTTGAGGACCAAACCCCAACCACCCTGACTCTCCATTACACCCTCAGGAGTAACATACACCTCGTTCTGTCCAGGGACACGTGTGGAGTACGGCCTCTGTGGGCACCTCAGCCTTGCAATCCCTCCCCAGGAGCCCCGCCTGGAGGCTGAGGATGCTTTGTCCCAACAGGCATGTCTCGTCACTGGCCCAGGGTCTTACAGTTCACCTCTGCATTAGTTTCCTGTGGCTGCCATAACAAATGAATGCAAACTCAGTGGCATAAAACAATAGAAATTTATTCTCTTGGTTCTGGAGGCCATAAACCCAAAATCAAAGTGTGGCAGGGCTGCGCTCCCTCCGAATGCCCTCAGGGAGAATCTTTCCTGCCTCTTCCAGATTCTGGTGGCTCCAGCGTTCCTTGGCTTGTGGCTACATTGCTCCCATCTTTACCTCTGCCTTCCCATGGAGTTCTCTTCTGGGTCCTCGTGTCTCCTCTTCTGTCTAAGGACAGTTGTCATTAGATCTAGGGCTCACCCACATAATCCAAGATGATCTCATCTCAAGATCCTTAACTTATCTACATCTGCAAGGACACTTTTTTCAAATACGGTCACATTCATAGATTCCAGGGGATGGACATATCTTTTGGGGGGCCAGCATTCAACCCACTGCAGTACACCCTGAAACACTCATGTCCACCTTATGTCCAGAATACATTCAGCTCACACTAACATCCCCCAAAGTCTCACCCAAATACCATTAATTCAAGAAGTCCCAAATTTCATAATCTAAAATTGTCCACCTTATGTCCAGAATACATTCAGCTCACACTAACGTCCCCCAAAGTCTCACCCAAATACCATTAATTCAAGAAGTCCCAAATTTCATAATCTAAAATCATCTAAATCCCTTAAATTAGGTATGGGTGAGACTCTGGGTGTGCTCCGTCCTGGGACAAAAGTCCTCATGTATAAACTACAAACCTAGAAAACAAATTACCTCAAATAATTATCTTAGAAAACGCAGTGGTAGAACAGGAAGAGGATAGACGTCCCCATTCGAAAAGTGAGAAATAACGAAGGGGTCACCGGTCACCCAAGTTTGAAACCCAACAGGGCAAATTCCACTTGGTTTCAAGCCCTGGAGACAATCTTCAGTGGCTCTTGGCTCTGTGGGCCGCTGCCTCTAGCCCACGCCTCCGGCCTCAGGATCAATCTTCACTCTCTTGAAGGTAGCACATGTTTGCAGCTGAGAAGCTCTTTGAGCCTGTTTCTGTTTGTAGAATCCCACAAGTCCAACAGCCTTGCTTCATTTCATCCATCTCTGTTCCTTTCAGTCCATGCTGGCAGTGTTTCTGCTGGTATAAAATTCCCAGAAACCTTGCGGGTTTCCCAAATGTCGCAGGAATCAATGCCATTAGGCAAGAGGGTCTTCCATACACCTTGCCTGGATAACTCCATCTTTATTCTTGGCTTCTGACTGGCTCCATGAATCACACACCTAATCCCTTCAGCAAAAGGTCATCCTGCGGACTTCTCTCCAGAGCAGCCTTTCCCAACAGCAAATCTCCTAATTCGTTATCCTTTGCAATCTGGAGAGGCGAGAACCTCCCAAATCTTCAAGTTCTGGTTTCTTTTAGCAGTCCCTCTCTCACAGTTCACTATAAGCAGCAAGGAGAAATCAAACTGCACCTTCCATACTTTGCTTGGAAATCTCCTCAGCTAAATATCCAAGTTCATCACTTACAAATTCTTCTCCCATCCAACAGCAGGACACAACCCAGCCAAGATTCTGCCCCCACAACAAGGACTGCCTTTCTTCCGGTTTCCCATATTGTCCCTCACTTCTTTCCGAGCCCTCCCCAGAGGCACTTTTAATTTCCACATTTCCACCAACCTCTCTTCAAGGCAATAACTCTTCCAACCTCTACCCAGTACCCAGTTCCAAAATCACCTCCACACTTTCAGGTATTTGTCACAGCAGCACCCCACTTCCCAGTGTCAGAATCTGTATTAGTTTGCTACAGCTGCCATAACAAAGCACCACGGGCTGGGTGGCTTGTAAAAAGAGAAATTCATTCTCTCACAGCTCTGGAGGCAGAAGTCTGAGGTTATGGTGGGCAGGGCCGCGCCCTCTCCAGAGGCTCTAAGGGAGGGTCCTTCCTGCCTCTTCCAGCTCCTGGTGGCTCCAGGTGTCCCTTGGCTGTGGCTGCGTCCCTCCAGTCTCTGCCTCCAACTTCACGTGGCTTCTCCCTGCCTGTGTGTCTCCCAGTTGTCCTCTCTTTGTAAGGACATTCACAATTGAATTCAGAGCCCACCTGGAAAATCTGGGATGACTCATGTGTGATCACATTCACAGGTTCCAGTCCATGTATGTATCTTTGGGGGAGAGGGGCCACCATTCAACCCACTGCAGCCCTGCTGCCCCACTGAGGGCTCTTCAGAGACAGAGAACTGCTTAAGGACAGCCCTCAGCATGGGAGCCCTGACACGTTCCCTTGCTCCCCACTTCTCCTTTGAGCAAGTCTTCCACACACCCATCTCTGTGCCCAAGCGCTCTGAGAGTCGTAGATTCTGTGATTCAAAGAGAACCAGCAGGTGCCACCAGCACCCTGGGAAGATGCAGGGTTGGGACGCTTCTTCGCTCAGGGGGCCCAAGTATCAGCCGTGAGTGGAGCCCCCCGGCCCCACACAGGGCTCCACCCCTCGCTCCCCCATCCCTACCTTTGTGCCCACCTCCAAGCCAGCTGCCCTTCTGGGAAGAAGAGCCCAGACAAGGTCAGCAGAAGAGGAAAGCGGAACCACCACCATCACAAGTCCAGTGGCCACGCACGTCCAGGGAGCTCCCTGGAGTCCCAGGCCACTCTCCGGGGCCGAGACCTGGCATTTGCTGAGTCCTCCATGGGCAGCTGGGGCCCCTCAGCAGCGCTGAGACGCCCACCCCGCCCTGAAGCTCCAGCCCAGCCTGGGAGCCTGGAGCCCCCGCTGCTGACCTGAAGGTGAGTCCAGATTTGCTCTTGAGGTTCCGCAGCAGCTCCAGCTGGTTGAGAGGTGGGATGAGTCTGGGGCGAGAGAAGGAGAGGCCAGTGAGCTCCCCGCCTGCCTGAGTCCTGCTCCCACCAGTGTCCACTTCATGTGGGAGCTGGTGTGAAATGCCAGGGGCCCAGGCTCAGCAACGGCCTCTCTCCAGGCTCTGGGAGCTGTCCTCATTCTCTGGGCTGCTCCTGGGGCCTCAGGCGCTGGAAGTGGGCTGTGACCAGCCCAGACAGCAGAGGGGAGTGGCATGTAGGCCGTCCCTGGAGACCCCAACTGCTCGGCGAAGGGCGGGATTCAGAGCAAAAGTGGGGGTCACCTCCCTCCCCTCCTGTCCCCCTTCTGATCCCTGAACATCTCTGAGGGCCGCACGGCTGCAGATAGCCCCAGACAGCCCCAGACACACGGAGGGCCCCAGAGCCTCTCTGCAGAACCAGTTTCTCCGCCAAAGCTGGGGATGGGGGTAGCAAGGTCACAGAAAAGGGCTTTCCAGGCCTGCAAGATGTGCCGCCTAAACAGCCGGAGGAGGAGCCTGGTCTCATCAGGCCCAGATATCTTGGGAACTCCGGACAGGCTGCCTGGCTCTGCTGTGAGACCCCCTCTTCCCAGACTTGGTGATGCTCACCCCCAACAGCCTCAGGCCAGGCCCCTGCCTGCCTGCCAAGATATTTGGCCACTCCACAGCCACGGCCATAGGACCAGGGCCAGAGTCCAGGTACAGCAGCCTCACCCAGGAAGGGTTTGGGAGCCAAGTCCCCTCCCAATGTCTGGGCAAAGCTTCCTGCTCCTCCTGTCCACCCCCCTCTTAACAACCTCATTCTCCACTTCAGCCTCCCAGCTTCCCCCAGACATCTGTCCCCCCTGTTCCCCCAGACACTCTGTCCCCCTTGCCCCCCCTGGGCTCTCTGTCCCAAAAGCCCCTGCCCAGCTCCATGACACCCTCACTCTGGAGAGGCCTCACAGCACCGACTCCTCCTGGTGCCCCATTCGGCATCCCACGTCCCAGTCATATTCCAAGACCCCGATCCAGGGCTCCAGGCCCACCTCCATCTTCAGTCTCCATCCCCCTTAAGCCCAGCTGCAGAACACTCCTTACAGCAGCCACATCCTCACCTCTCTCTAGGACCTCATCCTGACATTGTGTGGCATGGTCAACCACCTCCGAGCCCCGACCCTCCTCCACACGGTCACCTCCCCTGGAGACCCCCCTTCCGTGTCACCTCCCTCCGCCTGCAGGCCAGGCCTAGCCCACCTCACCTGGACTCTTCTAACCCCCAGCCCTGATCCTCCAGCTGTGCCAGACGTGCCCAGCATCCTAGCCATTCTCCTGCTCAAACACTCAATGGCTCCCCACTGGCTCCAAAACGACGGGACCCACAACTCCACTGGCCCTCTGGGCCTGCGGCTGGGCTGTCCCTCCACACACTCCCTCCCCCAGCCACACTCCCAGATCCCATCTTCCCTGGCTCCTCGGCCAGGGGTGCGCCCTCTGCACCACCTTCCACCTGCCACACTGCCTCTGGGTCTCCCTCTGCTGGCTGAGCAGGTTATGAGCAAGTGTGGCCGCCCTGGTACCTCTTTGTTCCTCAGCAGCCCCGGCAGAGCCAGGCCCTGGAGGTCCCTGGAAATGCTGGTGGGAGGAGGTCCTGTGAGCTGGCTGTTCCTCTCCCCCTTCCTGCCCAATCCCTCCCCCAGAGAGCTGTCCACTGCCAGGTGGGTCAGGACCAACCAAGCAGGCACCCGGCAGTCAGGCCAGTCAGCTGGTGCCATGGGTGCAGTAGAGCCCCCAGGTTGGCCAGCATCTGTCCACGGGGGCACAGCTGGCCCCCCATACCCTCCCCTCAGGCCCAGTTTAGAGACACAGGATGTCATGCCTCAGACACACAGAGCAGCAGAGCTGGGGACGGGCATGTGGGTAGCAGGGCCGAAGTGGGGCCCTGCACACAGCCCTGGCCACCTTCGGGGCAGTCGTGGAGGGTGCAACATGCCAACAGGAGGGGAAGTGGGGTGCCTCCCAGGAGAGAGCAGAGGCTGGTCTGGGGGTCAGCCAGCTTCAGGGGGACAACTCCAGCCACCCAGGCCCAGGACCAGAGGGATTCCCCAGATGCTGGGGGCATCTTATTTCTGAGTGTAGCACCAGCTGGAGAAGATGGACCAAAGCAACCACCAGGTTCAGGAGGAGCCTGTCAGCCTGACGCAGCCCGGGCAGCCTGCAACCCCAGGAGTGTAGGAGAAGGTGGCTTCTGAGGTCTGCAGCAGGAGGGTGCTGGGCAGAGGCGCCCATGGAAACTCAGGCCCCTCCCATCTGTGGTCTTGACCCTCCACTGCCACGGCAGTTCCCTCCCTTCTGGAAATGGAGAGGTTCCCAGAGGGAAGGGCAGCTCAGTGCTCCCTGGAAGGATGAGTTACCCAGCAGATGCACCCCAGGAGCCTCCCGGTCTGTGGGGAGGGGCCGCCCCAGATTCTGAAGGGCTGGGCTCACACTCTGGCCATCACCTGCACAAGCCCCATCCACTCCACAGGTAGGAACCTTGGCACGTTGCCAGAGTGGAAGTTCAGCAGCACCCTGTCTGAGCACAGACCCTGTTTCCCACCTTCAGGCTGCAGTCTAACATGCCACAGGGGAGGCCACCAGGGCGAACACACTCATCAGAAACGGGGACATGCCCTGGGAGCATTTCTGCTCCCAGAACTTGACACTGCCCCGTGACACATGGAAAGACTTGGGGGGACTTAAGACCAGGAAGGGGTACCCCAAAGCAGGGCCCCAGAGGTGAGCCACCCCGGCAGAGGCCCTCGTGTGCAGGAGCAAAATGGTCACTGGCCTGGGGTTTGTCTGATACACTCCCTTGGCCCAGACACGGTGCCCTGAGCCAGGGTGGAGGGAGCCCCCACCCACCACTCCTCTGCTCATAAGGGGCGCGGGCACGACCATAGCTACTAACACAAGGCACGAAGCAGGACGAGGACCAGAAGGCAACCTGAGGACACACCACACGGATCCAGCAACAAGGAAGCAGCGGCTGATGGGGAACCCGGAGGTAGGGTGGGGAGGGTCGGCGGTAGGTCCAGGGAAAGGACATGGGTGGGACATGTGGGCACCAGGCAGCGGGGCCATGGTGGCAAGGCCTGACCACACCCAGCGTGGGGCCACGGGGCCAGGCAGAGGTGCAGGGGTGCTGAGCCAGACAGCCCCAGCTCTGCCACCCGGTGGGAGTGGGGCCCCAAGAGCTCGCCCCAGCAGCCCCCAACAGAGAACAGAACTACACACACGGCCTTCTGTCCCATGCATTTCCTACCTGGAGGCCCCGTAGGTTTGGGTTTGCGAGCTTTCAAGTGTTTTCACACACACACAAAGGGGAAAAAAATGTAAAGAAAGAACGGGATAAGAAAAAGAAAACAAAAAAAATAGTCAAGGAAAGTGGGGGAAACAACAGAACAAAGAAAATTAGCACGAGGGTCAATTATACCCCTGCCACCCCGGGGCTGAGAGCCACCGCCTCGCAGGAGCACAATGCAGGGTGACCCCAAATGCCCACACCTTCAAGAAAGATGGGCATGGCCAGGACCCCAAGGCTCATCCTTCCAGAAGGTGCTCGGTGGGGCAGATGCTGGGGGGTGGCAAGGCAAGCCCAGAGGACCATCGCCAAGGACCCTCTCCCCAGGTGACTCACCCTATAGAGCAGGTGGCAGGTGGGGATGGACTCTGGCCTGCTCAGCCCTCATTGACTTCAGGACCTTCAAGAGGACCCCTCCCCCTCCCAGCCTAGAAGACCCAGCAGAGTTCAGCGCCCACCTGGCAGTGGATAGACGGTGGACGCAGAGGCTCCAGGGGACAGAAGCGCCCCTGGGGGAGGTCGGGGAATCCTCACGCTGGGAGACACTCAGGCTCAGGGGCACCCACCTCAGAGCAGAGGGCAGGCGGCAGGGTGGTTCCCACCCTAGGAGGGCTCTGGGCCCAGGGAATGAAGCCTGCGGGGACCACAAGTGCGGGCCCATCTCAGACCTTAATCTAAGCAAGAGCCAGACACAAACAAATCCCAGGGGTCTGCCACCTGCCCTTAGAAGACTGAAAAAATGGAAAGCTGACCTCTGACCATGTGGACTCATGGGGCCTGTCAGCGCTGCCTCTGCTGGCAACCCCAGAGTGGCACTTTCTGGGCCCCTTTGGAAAAGGGGTCTGCTGAGGGGTCCCTGGAGGTATCTGTGTGCTCTGTCCTGTTGGGGGGCACCTGGGAACCCCAAGATGATGTGGGCCTCATGGTACAGAGCTTGTGTAGTCTGGGGTCACTTTCCCTCCCCCACACTGAGAACCTGGTCCTCACTGAAGGACAGGGGTCACGACTGCCTTTCTGCTGTGAGGCTGGGCCGAGCTAGCCCAGTGCGCGGAGGTCCAGAGCGCAGCTGGGCATTTACCTGGTCCACGCTCTCTGGGGAGGGGCCTGTCCTCGCAGTGCTCACAACACAGTGCCACCCACAGCAAGGGACACAGAAAGCAAAGGGGCGGGGAATGGACTGAAAAGAAAAGCTGCAACGCTACAAAACAAAGAGCAAAATTAATATTTCAAAATAAACCGCACACAGAATTCTTCTTTGAAAAGCACACTTTAAAGAAAAAAGAAACGAAAACCAATCAGTCAAAACAATGAACAACGAAAAGTGGGCCAAGAGCACGCAGGGGCGTGGCCAGGGCTGGCAGTACCTGTACATGGGCACTGTCACCGTGCGCTCGTAGTACTGCCATGTTGAATGCAGGTCAGTGCGCGACAGGTTGGTGGCATAGAACCTCCAGGCGGACTGCAGAGGGAGACAGCACGAGGGTCAGCGAGGGGCGCCTGTGCCTGTCCCAACCCCCGTAGCCTCAGTTTACCCAGGTAGCACGGACACTCCGCTGCCTGCCGCAGCAGTGCAGCCTGGGCAGGCGGCACGGATTGCCACCTGCTCCTGGCCTCGCGGGTCTGCAGGGACGCAGCATGTTCTTTCCTCGCACTGTGTCTTACCTGACGCCTGGTGGGTGGATCCTGTCACAGCAGTTAACTTCCCGCCCTCCCCAATCCAAGCAGGGACGCGACCCCAGGAGCTGGAGGGCAGATGGGGCCAGGGTCACATGCGCTATCCTCCCAGGCTGGTGGCCCAGGCCAGGTGGCTTCCCCAGTTGAAGGGAACAGGGGCTCTGGGCATGGCTGGGTCTTAAGCCTGCCAGTGAGACTGACCTACACCCGGCCTGGACTTCTGGTCCCTATACTTTGTGTTTTTAGTGGCGAAATACACATAACATAATATTAACCATGTTAGCAGCTGGAAAGTGCACAGTTCAGAGGCGTTTCGTACATTCAGCGCTGTGCACCCATCACCACTGATTCCACAACCTCTTCCTCCCCCCAGAAGGAAGCCCCACCTCTCCTGCCCCCCGGCCCTGGCAACCACCATTCTGCATTAATCTCTGTGGACTTCCCTATCCCGGGTAGCTCCTATCAATAGAATCACACAGCACGTGGCCTTTTCCGTCTGGCTTCTTTCACTGAGCAGTGTCCTCAGAGTCCATTCCTGTTGCAGTGCTGCAGCTGGACAGAGCTTCATTCCTTCTCACAGTTAAATATACTCAGCTGCACCAGCACGTCACATGTCACCTCCCCACTCATCCACTGATGTACATGTGGGTTGCTTCCACTTTTTCGCTATTGTGAATAATGCTGCTGTGAACATCTGTGTACAGGTTTTTGGCTGAACACCTGTTTTCAATTCTTTTGGGTGTGAACCCAAGAGTGAAATTGCTGGTCATATGGTAACTCCATGTTTAACTTTTTAAGGAACCACCAGACTGTTTTCCACAGTGGCTGCACCATTCCACCTTCTCACCAGCACTGTATGACGGTTCCGGTTTCTCCACATCCTCACCAACACTTACTTTTCATTTTTTAAAATTTTAGTCAACCCAGTAGATGTAAAGTGGTATCTCATTATGGTTTTGGTTTGTATTTCCCTAATGGCTAATGACATTGAGCATCTTCTCATGTGCCTATTGGTCATCTGTATAATTTCTTTGGAAGAGATATTTATTCAAATCCTTTGCCCAACAAAACTTCGGGTTTTTTGTCTTTTTTTGGTGTTGAGTTATATGAAATCTTTATATATTCTGGTTACTAAACCGTTGTTACATATATGATTTACAAATATTTTCTCCCATTCTGCAGGTTTCTTTCACTCTCTTGAGAGTGCACTTTAATGCACAAAAGTGTTTAATTTTGATGATGTCCAATTTTTCTTTTGTTGCTTATTGTTTGGTGTCATATAAAAAAATCAAAATCATGGAGACTTTTATCTATGTTTTTTCCTCAGTATTTTTATGCTTTAGCTACAATATTTAGGTTACTGATCCATTTCTAGTTAATTTTTGATATGGTGTAAGGTAAGGATCAAACGTCATTCTTTTAAAAACGAATGTCCAGTTGTCCCAGCACGATTCGCTGAAGAGACTATTCTTTCCCCATTGGATGAACTTGGCACCCTGTGAAAAATCAACTGACCACAGATGCATGGGTTTATTTCTGGACTCCCAATTCCATTCCATGGATTTGTCTGCCTACCCTTATGTAAGTGCCACACTGTTT